TTTTCTATACACAAATTGTAAGTAACACTTTGAACTTATTTTTATTTAGACTTAAACAATTGTTTCAACAGTTACAACCACAATTATTATTCTTTACAATTTACAATCGAATCTTTTTAATTTAAAAAAAAATATTTATTTCGTTTAATATAAATTTTTTCATTGAACAATATTTTTATTACTTCATTAAAATTGAACTTATTCTCAGATTTTCAACAAATTTATTTAGGAAAATAGTAGTAACTATTGCGTGAATTAACCTACAATTACTTTCCTCTCTGTGTTTATTATCTGCACTTTTTCAGGATTATAACAAAAAAAAATCTTTTATTTTTTCTATACACAAATTGTAAGTAACACTTTGAACTTATTTTTATTTAGACTTAAACAATTGTTTCAACAGTTACAACCACAATTTTTATTATTTACAATTTAAAATCGAATCATTTTAAAAATGAAGTAATGGGAAAATAGTAATAATATAAACGTAATATATTTATAACTAAATTTTCAATATAAAAAAAGGCCGACGTGAATTATCCTACAATTACTCTCCTCTCTGTGTTTATTATCTGCACTTTTTCAGGATTATAACAAAAAAAAATCTTTTGTTTTTTTTATCTATACACAAATTGTAAGTAACACTTTGAACTTATTTTTATTTAGACTTAAACATTTTACAACAGTTACAACCACAATTTTTATTATTTACAAATTTACAATTTTAATTTTAAAAAAATGATTTATTTCGTTCAATATAAATTTTTTCATTGAACAATATTTTTATTACTTCATAAAAATTGAACTTATTCTCAGATTTTCAACAAATTTATTTAGGAAAATAGTAATAACTATTGCGTGAATTAACCTACAATTACTTTCCTTTCTGTGTTTATTATCTGCATTTTTTCAACATTATAACAGAAAGAAAAACAAAAATATCTTTTATTTTTCTATATCAAAATTCTTATTAACATTTTTAACTTATTTTTTTTAGACTTAAACAATTTCATTTTTATAATCATTAAGATAATATTTTATTATTATTTACAATTTACTATCAAATAATTTCACTTAAAAATATATTTTTTTTGTTTAATAAAGATTTTTCATTTTTATTAAGTAAATTTTGAACTTATTTCAATTTCTTTAAGAAAATAGTACAAACATAAAAGTAATGAACTTATTATACTTTCTACTTTAAAAAAATAATTATAATCCATTAAGTTCTTATAATAAAATCATTTCAAGTAAATTTTTAATTTCTTTTAGATTTTTACCATATTGGTATGAATATTATTGAACATTATTTCCTATTATAAAAATTAACTACTTTATTAATTTATAGTAAAATTTATTTGGAATTAGTTTTTGAAATAAACATGTTTATGATTTGCACAACACAAATTGTATACAGTTATTAATTCACTTTAATCACAATATTTACAATTATTAATTTCTATGTACTTATCTATAATTCATAATTGTTGTAATACACAAAATATTTCTTTTAAAATGAATGAAATATAATAATCCATTATGTTTCTTACAAATTGTTAGTCATAAATTTTATAATCAATAAAATCTCTAACTAATAAATACACTTTATAATTGTTTATACAGAAATCTTCAACTTTAGTTTATAAATTTAAAAAATTTATACGAAAATATCAATTATTATGATTTAAAAAATTGTTATGAAAATATTTTTAAACTGTAAATGTAAATTTTATAACTTAATTGCAAATACGCAATTAATGATTTCGCAGATGTAACAACAACAAAAAAAAAGAAATTATACAAACACAAGAAATGTTTTTCAATGAATTAATTTCCAATAACTAGAAATAACTTTTTAATCAATTCAACGTATTGAAAACCATTAAATTATTCAATTTATCTAATTAAATATAAAAAATGTGCACTATTAAGTTTTATGAGAAAAGTATTTGCTTCTTGTTTAATATTGCAAAACAAATTAATTAATTTTTGTTCTTTAAAAATCAAATAAAAAGTAAATTTATCTAACAAAATTAGTTAAAATTTATTATTTCATGTATATTAAACAAATTATGAAAATTTCACAAATAATTTAAAAAAAAAGTACGTTTTTTTTCTCTTATTATTTATGTCAAGAAAATAACTCAATTATCGTTTTTTCCTTATACTTATCAGCAAAATTCTCAACGTTCAAAGTTATTCTAATGAAGCAATCACGGCTCAACTAAACACATTTCCTTGTTGCGTTTTACACTTTTTGCGTTTTCGAAATAAATAAAAAAACGAAAGTAACAAACAAAAAAAGCAGCTGAAACACAGTGAAAAATCGTGGAAATAGCTGCAGAAATCATTCAAATTTTCAATAAACATTATAAATAAATATTTATGTACCTTTTATTCTGTTCAAATTAAGTGAAAGTGCCGGAAAATGATTATTGTAAAAAAAAACTACAATGGTTGGAAAAAAAATTAGGTGACGGAAAAACCGACTTTTCGCAATTAGTGCCGCTCCGAAATCTCCCCTAATGCGGAACGCGCATTCCACCCTTCGTTCCACCCCCCACACGAAATAGTTTCACCAACTTTTGATCCGAATTAAATGCGTGCACCGAAAACAAATACGGGCTTTCGGGTTTTGTGCATCGCTCTGCATGTTTACTGCCGAATCATAACTAATCACTACTAATAATACCAAATTTCGACTTTGTCCGTTAGTTCCGGTTTGCGCGATTCCTCTGTACACAAATACTTCGAATTCCATTGTATTTTACATTCAAACGAAACGTAATACAATTTTGTTTCCTAATTTTTTTGTACTAATTATTAAAAGTTTTATGGAAGTTTCATTTACAAAAAGATGATTCAGTTAAAGATGAAGACGCAATTCATGTGTCTACGCACATTGGAACTGAAAGCAATTTTATTCATTTATAATGTTTCGTGTATAAGACGCACCTTCAATTTGAACACAATTTGGTACATTTTTATAGAAATAATAGCCTAATCAAGCAAAGCGTCACATTAATAATTTTCTTTGTATAATACGCACATTCCAGTTAAGAGCAAGTATATTCAGTTATAATATTTCGTATATAAGACGCACCTTCAATTTGAACACAATTTGGTACATGTTTATAGAACTAATAGCCTAATCTAGCAACGCGTCACATTAATAGTTTTCTTTGTATAATACGCACATTTCAGCTAAGAGCAAGTATATTCAGTTATAATGTTTCATGTATAAGACGCACCTTCAATTCCAATACAATTTTTATTGATATGTATAGAATTAATAGTTAGCAAAGCATCACCTTTACAGTTTTCTTTGTATAATACGCATATACAAGTTGAGAGCAAGTTTATTCATATATAATATTTTGTGTATAAAACAACATTTTAAATTTATACACGTTACAAACGAGTTTTCATTATAAACGGATGGACTTTACGTTTAAGTTATATTATTCGTGTATAATACGCATCTTCATAGATATACATACACAATTTTAAATTTGTAACCGAATTTTCAATTATTTTATGAAAACGTCTCAGTTATATCTCTTCGTGTATAATACGCGCACCTTTGATATGAGAACGCGAAT